TGGACATGGATCGGGATGGGGTCGTGGTGCAATGGTCAGTGGGATGGACATGGATCGGGGTGGGGTCGTGGTGCAATGGTCAGTGGGATGGACATGGATCGGGATGGGGTTGTGATGGAGGGGGAGCTTGAGGCCTGGATTAAGGAGGCCCAGAAGAAGGCCATGGTTGGGAGTGTGGAGCAGCAGTGGCAGGAATTTGACTTGGCCCAAGCTGGATTTGTCCCCTGGAATGAGCCCAGGGATGTGCCAGCCTGGGCAGATGTCCCCAAAGTCTCACTTAAAAACCCCCAGAACTCCCCAAATTGACCTTCTGGTGGCATTACTGAAGGAAAATCCCAGGAAAAGAACCCAAAATATGTAGAACCCCCCTCATAATGGATGGGGATGTTTGGGGACAAACACAGCTCTGGGCTGAATCCCATGGATTTAGGGATTAACAGCATGTGGGAATGGGGGGTTTTGGTCCCTTGGAATTCCTGGCTCGGGGGGGCATTTGGAACCTGCAGGTGGAACTGACTGACTGGTGGTTGTGAAACCACCTTGGTGTGTCCATCCCATCCCATCCCATCCCTAATCCACAAAAACCATCAGCAGAGCCATTAATCCCTTTCCCTTGTCCTGGGAGCAGTGTGAGACCCTGGAACTTGGGGGTTTGGGGACATGAGCCGCAGCCTCGGACACCCCCGGGAGCACGGGAAGGAGCAGCTGTTTTGGGGTTAAACCCTTGAACCCCCAGTCCCTGTGCAGCTCCTGCCTCCAGCACTGCAGACGGAGGAGCCGCGGCTCCAGAGCGGGAAACCCGCTCGAATTTCCTAAATATTGCCAAAAATAGTCAAACTACTCCGTGGGATGTGCGGAGGGGGAGCTGCCACACGGGAGGCTCATCCATCTCCCTCGGGCTCATCCATGTCCCTCGGGCTCTGGGAGGATCTGGGTTTTCCGTGCTGGTGGCCGGGGAAAGCCCCCCACTCCTTCCCGGGCTGGGGCAGCGCTTCCCAAACCTCCCTTTGCCATGGATTTCTGGGATCTGGGCTTATCTGCCCATGTAAGTGCAGCCTGGAAGGGGGAGGAGAGATCCTGGGAAGGGTTGAACACCCTTTTTTCCTGAGGGGGTCTGGGGTGGGATTTAAGACCTGCAGGTGTGGGACAGGGAAAAATATAAACCTTACTGAGGAAAACCTTAATGAGGGAAAACTTAATAAGGAAAAAACCTTAATGAGAAAACCCTGAATTAGTGAAACCCTCTTAATGAGCTTAAGGAAAAGCCCCTTCCCACAGGCAGAGCAGTTATTTGGGCAGTGCCCAGCCCCAGCAGGGCCGATCCCGAGCCCGGAGCGGTGCCGGAGGCTGAGTGTCCTTGGCAGGCCCCTTGGAGCCTCGGCTCGTGCTGCTCCCACATAGCTGTGTCCTTACGGAGTGCCGGGAGGATCCCGCCTCACGCCCTGGCTCCGGCTCCTCTCGGCAGGAATCACTTTTCCCCAGCTCCTTGCTGCTGGAAGATTCCCTCCCTTCCCCTCAGTCCCCTCCCTGGCCGGAGCAGGGCTGGAATGCCTCTGGAAGTGCCTCTGGAGCGCTGGCGTGCAGCCGAGGGTTGTGTGGGGCCGGGCACCGCCCTTGACTGCTCCAGGGGGTTGGGAACACAGCGTTTTGTCAGCAAAACCAGGTGCTGGGGGGGGGATGGTTTTATTAATTAATTAATTAAACATGGGGATGAGTCACCAGGTGGCCCCCAGAGGTGTCACAGAGCCATGTGGGGCTCTGGTGGGGGAATTCCGGGAAGCAGGGAATACCAAGTGCTGAATGTCCAAGAGCTTCATCTGAGAGCGAAAATCTCTTTGAAACTCCCTTCAAAATCAAAATAGAAGATAATCATCATATCATCATCATCCCATTTTTGTTAACTCCTCAATCCTGGGGTGGGATCTGAATCATCATCATCATCATCATCATCATCCTATTTTTTAACTCCTGAGTCCTAGGCTGGGATCTGAAACCAGGAACACTCATCCCAGGAGAAGCTTCTCTGTCTGCTCCCCCAAACCTCCCCCTGCCCAGGGACCAAGACACAAAGTGGCCTTGGGGGGGAATGTGTGTGACCATTTTTAACCCACCTGCCCCCTGCCCTCCATCAGACTCATCGATTGGCCCGACAGCAAATAAGGAATGGGCCCAATCCCGAGGGTTTCCTTGCCTGGGGCTGTGCCGCTTCCTGAGGCGAAACCTTGGGAATAGAATAGGGAATTTTGGCTTCATTCTACCCTAGACATGCCTTAAAATCAAAATCTTTAGATATTTAATGGCTCTGGGGCTGCTCCAGAGCTTCTTAATCCGGAGTCCCTTGATCCAGAGCTCTGTAATCCCTGCCTTTTGTCCCAGGCAGCGGAGCAGGGACAAAGGGACGGAGCCTTTTGGAGCCTGTTGTTTAGACCAGGCCTGGCTCTGGTTTAACTTAACCAGAGCGTGGCCACAGCCACGTCCTCCTGGATCCATGTTCTCCGTAGGCTGCCGGCCCCGTGTCCCGGAGCTCCTCTCCCGCTGCCGGCGGGGCTGTGCCGAGTGGCCCCACCGTCCCACCCGGCCGATGCCTCCCGGCTCTGCTGCCGCCCCGGCAGCGAGCGAGATCCCCTTACACATTCCCCTCCCGAAATAGCTCCGGCTGAGCCTCCAACCGTGCCGGCCTCCCCCTGGGAATGCCGCGATCCCGGGGCTGCTGCAGCTCCTCCTCCTCCTGGGAACGGGCGCAGGAGAGGCGCGGCGGCTGCCGGGAGCTGCCCTTGAGGCTGCGGTGGCGAAGCACTGGGAGGTTGAACTGAGGTGGGGGGTTGAGGTTGGGTGGAGGAGGTTGAGGTTGTGCTGAGGAAGTTGAGGGTGAGAAGGGCCCGCTGAGGAGGTTGAGCTGGGGTTGAGTTTGAGGGTAAGGATGTTGAGGCTGTGGTTGAGTTGGGTTGGCTTGGGGTTGGCTTGGGTTGGTGGTGACCATGGTCTCTCCCCTGCCTGAGCTGATCCGGGCGCTCCCTCTGCTCCTTCCCAGACGACCCGGACCCCGACGACGGCTTCAACTACAAACAGATGATGGTGCGGGACGAGCGGCGCTTCAAGATGGCCGACAAGGACGGGGACCTGGCGGCCACCAAGGAGGAGTTCACGGCCTTCCTGCACCCCGAGGAGTACGACTACATGAAGGACATCGTCGTGCAGGTGGGGCTGGCACGGAGACGTTGGGAATGGATGTTCCCAGGAAGCTCTGGTGAGGGGAGTGCTGGGGGGTGGGAATCACTCCGGGCCTGGCTCACGCCGGTGTCTCTGTGCAGGAAACCATGGAGGACATTGACAAGAACGGTGACGGCTTCATCGACCTGGAGGAGTACATCGGTGAGACGCCGGAGCCACGGTGCTCCATGTGCCCTCCATGTCCCTTCCATTTCCCCATGCAGTGTCAGCTGCTGCCGGCACATCCTTCCCATCCCTCCCCCTCTGGGAATGTTCTCTCTTCCAACTTCTCAACTTCTGCCCCCCACCTTGTGCCAGTGTTGAGGATTTTGGGGTGAAATCCTGATCCAAAGGGTGCTTTGGGATTTTGGGGATGGACTCGGGGAGCTCAAGGCTTTGGGTCAGTCCTTGGGATGGGGACGGGGCTGTGGTGGTCGGGAGGATCCCGATCCCTCTCTCCCCACAGGTGACATGTACAGCCAGGATGGCGACGCTGACGAGCCCGAGTGGGTGAAGACGGAGCGGGAACAGTTTGTGGAATTCCGAGACAAGAACCGGGATGGGAAGATGGACAAGGAGGAGACCAAGGATTGGATCCTGCCCTCGGACTACGACCACGCCGAGGCCGAGGCCCGGCACCTCGTCTACGAGTCCGACCAGGACAAGGTGGGCCCGCGCTCCGGTGGGATTTCGGGAGCGGGGTGGGAGGAGCGGGGGGAATAGCGGGATGTGGCGTTCCCTGCAGGACGGGAAGCTGACGCGGGAGGAGATCGTGGACAAGTCGGACCTGTTCGTGGGCAGCCAGGCCACGGACTTCGGGGAGGCGCTGGTGCGGCACGACGAGTTCTAGGCCTCGCCGGCACTGCTCAGGGCTGCGCCCGCGCCCAGGCCGCTCCCGCCACGGGAAACCCCATCCCGGCGCCCGGGGATGGGGCTCAGGAAAGCCACACCCTCCCCGGCACTCGGGGCTCCTCTCGTGGGTTTTCCTGGGATTTTAACGACTTTTGGGTTATTTTTGTATGTTTTGGTTTTACCACGTGTGGAAACGGCTCCCCCGGCACGGGGGCAGCGACGGGGCCGCCCGGGGCAGCGGGGAATTCACAGCGGGATTGGGACTGGAGGTGGAATAAAAGTTGGAATTGGAGTGAAAGTTGGCAAATTGGAATTGAAATTGGAACTAAAGTTGGAAATGGAATTAAAATTGGAATTTGAATTGAAAGTAAAATTGGAATTAAAATTACAATTGGAATTAAAGTTGGAATTGAAACTAAAATTAGAATTAGACATTAAAATGAAAATTGGAAATTGAAATGGAATTTGAACTTGGGAAGTGAAATCAAATTAAATGGAAACATTGACGTGAAATTGGAATGAGAATTCAAAGCCCCCAAAAAACCCCAAATCCATCAGAGCAGCAGCAGGACCCCGGGAGGTTCCGGGGGGCACCCGAGGGGACCCCAGGGGAGGTGACCCCGGGGTGTGGGAACCCCCCTCCCCCATCGTTGCCCCCCAGGATCTGGCCAGGCCCCCCCGGCCCCACTCCAAGTGCCTTGAATCCCCCAAACCCGGGCTGGGGGGGGGCTCATCCAGCCATCCCACCCCGCTCTGGGATAATTCCCAGTGTTTTCCCTCTTCTGTGTCGTTTGTCCCTGCCCGCAGCTCCCGGAGCTGTGTGAAGTTGGTCTGGCCGCCCCCAGATTCCTGGGTTTTCCCTTAAATTGTTTTCCAAGGGTTTCCAAGTGCCGACTGGATCCTCCCTCCTCCTCCTCTTCCTCTTCCTCCTCCTCCTCCTCCTCCTCCTCTCCCACCTCCCCATCCCTAAATCCAGGGGCGAGCGGTTTGGGAACTTGTCCCCGCGCTGGGCTCAGGGATCTGGGAATGCGGGGGGTGGTTTGGGACACCAGGGATGGTTTGGGACAGCAGCCACGATTTTGGGAACACCAGGAAAGCTCCCCTGGCATCACTCCCAGTGCACCCCTGTGGCCCCTCTCCTGCTTCCCCCATCCATGAGGATTTGTGTCCCACTGACCGCTCCGGACACGGGTTTTCCGCCTGCTCCGGGTTTATTCGGTTCTCTGCTCTGGCTGACTGAAGGGATCCGGCTCGGCCGGGGCTCAATAAACTGTTCAACCCCCTGGGCCGGGGGGCCAGACCCCAGTTCCTGTGTCCCCCCAAACCAGGATCTCGGGGAACCCCCCAGAGTGAGCCGGGAGAGTGTGGGCGGGGGG